GGGGGAAAAAGCTCTCTCCTCTTCCGCGTTCGAGTCCTTGACGGAGGAGGAACCGAAACTGACTCGGGTCTGCGGCTCGCGAGAAACGCTAAGTCCTTCTCCGTCGGGGGCCGGTGGTGGCGCGCTTCTCAGACCGCGTGCGTCTGACTAAAAGCCACCCCCTCGTGCCTTAAAGAACGCGTGTTCGGGTAGGGGCGTTGTCTTAGGTGGTGCGCGGCCGCGAAATTTCTGGCCACCTCGAGGCGCCTTCGCCGTACGCCGTTTCTTATCGCGGCGACGTCGTACGCGGGTCCGACGGCCCCGGGCGCGGGCCCAGGTTACCGTGGACCGACTCGTGACCCCGGCCGCGTCCACCCACGACGAAAATCTACCTCCGGGAGGACGAAAAACTGAGGCCGCCGTAGGACAGGAGTTTTCAAGCTACCCCTCTTTTCCTTTGCCCCCACCAGACACGACGCCGAGGCGCGCGCTCTATCTCCCCCTTTTCCTCAAACTCTCCTCACCCTTCACCCCGCGCCCAGGTGGGTGGGGGATTCTCCGCCGCCGACTCCGCCGACGCCTCGTACGGGGGTAAGCGTCGTAAGGGGTGAGAGAAAGAGAGTGGGGCCGCGCTCTCCGTCTCCGTTTCGCCCGGCCAAGAAAACCCTCCCGGAAGGAGGGTAGGAGAGAGTCGTAAGAACCGATTATCTGTCCCTGTCTATCTCGATCGCTATCTTACACTCCGCGGTTACGTTCCGGTGTACGTAAGTACGAGCGGGCGAGATCGAACAGTCTTTCGGACCGTATACTCTTTTTGCCAAGAGTCCGTCCTTGAAAACTTCTCGCCTCGCCGTCGCGGATCATCTCCGTCGCGTAAATTCACTTGGACACCCCTTTACGCGTTTTTTCCCTCGCGAATCGATCAATTCTCGTTTAACGGTAAGATATGTACAAGTCTCGAGATGCGCGACGTGCGAACGCCTCGAATCGGGATACTCGACTAACCGAAAAATTGTAGGGGGCTTCTATGTAAGGGGGTGTAACAGTCTGAGAGGTACGAATAAAAAAGAAGGGGGATCGTCGTGTAAAAATGGCTTCCTCCCTCATGTCCCGCATGGCAACGTATGCGTGACTAATCACGCGGGGGAGTGGGGCAAGCTCTCTTTTTTATCCCCCTTTACGAATCGCTCCGTGTCCAAGTTACGTGGCTCACTATCCGTCCTTCCGATATTAATGTGCGAAGTTTGCTCGCAACTCGATGGCGATCGATTGATTAAGTGTTCGCGGATCCATCGATCGGGTCGAGAAAGCGGATTCGAATACATTCGATCACGTCGGTCATCCGTCATCCTTTCCAACGATCCTTCCATCCCCCACCCTCCCCGCCCCCGTCCTCGCGTTTTGAAAGTCAAATCGTGATTTAAACATGGATCATCGACCTTGCGGAGGACGTCGACTTTCAGTGGACGCGCTGATGCTCATTTCGCTGCGAAGAGTGGTCGATGGTCATCCTGCTCGTCTTACGCACCCTCCTCGCCGAAGTAGACAACCAAGCCACCCCTTCCCTCTCTTCTTCTCCCCC